TCCAATTACACCAAAAGTTACTAAAAGTAGACTTTCAGCGGAGACTGGAGTTTTGTCAGTGGGCACTTAGATGTTAAATCAAGATGATGATTTTTTAAACGGGTAATGTTCTTCGATGGGGCTACTTTTCATAAAAGTAGTTTCGTTAATAGTCATAATTACCATTATTATAAGTAAATCCTCACCATTTTCGGACAACTTACAGCCAACAATAGTCTTTGAACGTATGGGCAGCAATTTTGGGAACTCATGTCATTGGACCATTATTTTTTGGCCAGCATCTAACTGGAGCAGTTTATTTAAAATTTTTAACAAACACTCTAGAAGATTTGTTAGGCGACATGGATGCAACATGATGGTGCTCCCCCTCACAATACCACTGCGGTTCGTCAGTTTTTACACGAAACTTTTCCCAACAGATAGATTGGGCGCGGGGGACCAGTGAGTTGACCTTCAAGGTGTACAGCTATGACAAGTTACGACTTCTTTCTATGGGGATTTATAAAATGTAAAGTTTACGTTACACCACCAACTACCACGGAAGATATGTGGTAGCGCATTACAGTAGCATTTCAAGAAATTACGCCAGACATGTTGAATAGTCTTTTAAAAACCGCAATTGATGTAAAGCAACGGTCTAATTGTAAGTATTCTTCTCCTTGTTGTGTTCCGAGTTTCAGTTTGTTTCGTTTTGCGTTTTGTTTTAGTTGTTGTTAGTGGTTTACTTTTTAAACATGCCAGTAAATATTAACACTGTCAGTCCCAGGGCTGATAAGATGCGAGAGAAAAGTAGCTTTGCAAGGCCTTCTTGACGCTGTTACATAGCTACTTCTTTGCACTCTAGAAAAGAACCTGATTTTTCTGGAAAACTGGTAGAGATAAGTATGGACAACCTTTTATCAGTCGAAAGGGCATTCAATTTTGCATTCACCCATGATAATTAATATGGTTCATTCCATTTGAAAAAGAAAAGTTTTTCAACTAGTAAGACTATTAAATGTAGGTCTCAGTATTTCCGAGACTGAATAACGTACACGTTTTGCTCACAGATGACAAGTTAGAGTAATTTATGCCAAAACTAACTGTAAAAACTGCAGGTTTCTAACTCTTATCGTTTAGACGCTATCTAGCCTCATTTAGAGAGCTGAAGTTGTGATTTTTTTCTAAAACAACTAATTATCTCGAAAACGGTAAGTTTTAAACACCATGTACACTCGAGGCAAGATAAAGGTTTTCAACCTAAAAGGCATATTACTTTTAAAGGGGCGAGCTGGTGGACTATAAATAGAAATTTTGGGAGGCATCAATAATTAGGGGTGTGACATATTTTTTTTGTGTAGGCACGTGTGTAACGACACATAACAAAAAATTGCAGGCCTGAAGTATATGCATTATAAAAAGAGAAGAGTATACAGGTTTTGAAATTATTTTGTCTTGCCACATTATTTTTCTTGTCCCTGAGAAAATTAATATTTTGAAATAAGAATTTGTGTCATATTCTACAGAAAGTAGGTAGGTAGGTAGGTCATGAATGCAACAAAATAAAAAAATTTTGTAAACTACAGTTTTATTATAACTTATACAGTTTCGGGAGGAAAGGGAAATATCTTAAGGACGTGTTCTGGAAGTGAAAATAAGTAAATAAGTTCATGACATTATGGGTCCGGAAATGTTTCCTGAGATAGATGTCAAAAGATATTTAAAATCCGGTTTTTTCTAAATATCTCGAAAACGATTTAAGATATTACACTGCCACTGTACTATACACCAAAGCTCAGTGTAATATCTTAAATCGTTTTCGAAATATTTAGAAAAACAGTTTTTTTTTTAAATTTTACATCTATCAGGAAGGAAGCATTACCGGGCCCATAATGTTAACTTATTTACTTATTTTGACATTACTTTATAAACAATGAAAAAACAAAACGAGTTATCACGGAAATATTATTTTTGGGGGTCAATATGAGGGTTAGTTTGCATCCGTTTTAGGCTAAAAGAAAAAATATTAGTCGTTATTAATATGTGATATTGAGATTAACAATGGATATTGAGCATACAATAATTTAAAGAAACACACGTTTACTGACGCACGCGCATTGACAATAGCGAACGAAATAATCTATCTTTGTCATAAGCATACGAGTTGTCCACAACTTTGGTGCCATGAGTGCGACAAAGTGAACGTGATTTTTTATTTTTGTCCTGGCAGTGTCGTAGGAGCTAAATAAAATTCAAAATATAAAAAGGTAAATAAATTTGTATCTGTTTAAAAAACAAACGTAAAAAAAAATTCGAAGGCAACTTTTCATTATTTTAAATTAATCGAATAGTATAGAAAAAAAATTGTTTTTGTTTTGTTACATCATTAAAATAAACGATTAAAAATTTGAAATTGTTATAACTTTCGTATTAAAAATTAAAAATTATATCTATTTCTCTGAAAAGAAAAGTTAAATTTTTTAGAGTAGATTGAAAAAAAAAATCATTCATTTTTCTGCTTGTGATTTTTTTAAATTTCTGAAATCTTCCCTTAACTTTTAGCCTCCCTAACTCTGTTAATTTTAATAGTACAAGAAAAAGTCAAGGGGCCATTTTTATGTAGAGTTGTATGCTTTACAACTTTTGTAAGAAATTCAACCGATTTGCGTGCACCTATGCAGCATTAATGGCTTACAGAAAAACCAGAGGCCCATTCTGAGGCAAAAATTAAGTAAATTTTGTTATACACTCTTAAGGCCTCCGTTTCCGAGCTGCAGGGTTTTCAAAATTAAAAAAAAAGTTTAAATTTTTAATTGTCTTGTTCATTCAATCTAACTATTCGTAAGTAGGTAGTAGACGTTTCGCAAGACTTATTAACTAGGATAAATCGATTTTTCTATTGTAATGTAAATGCAACTCTTTTAATAGAAACAAGATAATATAAAATGCATACGGGGTCTGCTATAAGAGTTTGCCGATTAGTCCCATTTTAAAAATGCCAATCTACCAGGAAAGCATTTTTGTACAAAACTCGTAAAATGTCAGATGTGACGCTAAAATATTGCCACACGAGTTTAATGGGAACGCCCCATATAGACAAGCGGTTAAGCCGTCATATTTCAAACAAAATACAATTCAGATTGGAAACCTTTATCTTGCGTCGAGTGTACATTAAATAAACTATACCTAATATTAATTAAGGAATTCAAACATGCAATAATATACAGGGTGTTCCANGCAGCTTTTTTAGATATTGAGAAAACCCGTAGAGCATAACTTCATATGACAAAAATTTATTTTTTAAACTAAAGAATCCACCGATTAATTTATTCCCAACCTTTACGTTACACCCTGTATATTATATATTATATATTTTATGTATTATATTATATACATATTTTGTATTATGTATTATATCTTAAATCTTATAAAAAATTTACAGATGACAGTGCCTGCAAGGATCCTAACTTTTTCATGTGAAAGTTACGTTTTTACGAAGTTAAAATCATCTAATTTCTAAGATAAATAATAATTATTAATGTAAAATTTACGGATTCGACCCTATACTAAATAAATAACCGCCTTATTTTTAATCAAAAGAGATTACTTCTTGAAGAAACCTACTGAACAGATTGAGGTAAGATACCAAAATTAGTGTATACTTCTGTAATTATTCTTCATCATAAAAAGTTTTTGCCTTCAGATTTAGCATATTATTAAACTCCTGCCACGCAAAAGTTAATTTCTCGTATAAATATCAAAATTTTTTAAGAGCAAATATTAATTAAAACTTCTTAAAAACAACAATATGATATTTACATTCGCCGGTCTTTTTAATAAGATATAGAGAATATTTCGGAAGGTAATTTTAAAATGGCAAACAATAAATTTATAGGAAGGAATAAGAAAAAAAACGGCTTTATTAATTGTAACACATGGAATAACTCGGTAAATTATATAATTAGGTAGTTTTACAATTTTTAATTTCACATAAATTATGTAATTATTTAATACCTTTGTTATGACCAAACTTTGGTATAGGTTAAAATATTTGTTTCTAGGATCGTATCTTCTATGTGAGATCTACAGGGTGTCCAATTTTAAATTGCGCACCTGAATATCTCGGCAGGGAAGCCACCAATCCGAAAATAACCCTTACGAAAATTATTGGGTTTGAAGGGGGTTTTCGGATAGTGATCTTCAATTTGACCTTGACCTGGACTTTTAAGGCAATTTGAAGATCAAATTTAATTGTTTAAATATGAACCTCTAATTTTACGTTTAGATAGGTACTTAAGGCTCGTTTAGGTTTATTGAATTTATAATTGAACTAAAAAATGCTCGTTACGTCTATGAAGATAGATCTGTTACGGCGTTATTTATGTGAAAACAGGTATTTAGAAACAAACTGTAACTATAGAAGAACATAATGGTAAACAAAAATTAAAGTAGATATACAAATTGAAAGTCCTTTGTTCGGAATATAACTGGCATAATGACCTTGAGTTTGATAAATTCACTGGCGTAATGGATGGTGCAGATTTTGTATTATTTAGTTCCTCTCTTGTATTTATTGGAGAAGAATATACCTGCTGTTTCATATGATACCAGGCAAAATAACCAAAGGGATTAATGTCAGGTGACTTTGAAGTCGTGGTACAGGGCATCCTCTGTCTATCCAGTTTACTTACAGTATGATAATGGGATTGACATTTATTTGTGAATTACTGACAACTAATGTCTAAAATAAAAAAAACATAGCCATAGAAATTCTTTTAAAGATCATTATGTTGCCACAAGACATTGGTTTCGTTTTTGCTTTCAGTGTTTTAGATATCATCAACTGTTAGAGTTAGTACGTTTAAAAAGGGAACACCCTGTATAAGCCGTCTTGCATTATTATTATATCCTGAATATTGTGACACGTACAGACACGTTATAAAAATTTCTCTCCCCGGATACGGTTTCTGACATCAAATGAATCATGTTTCGTACTTAGTAGTAAATATTTTTAATTACAGAACACGGTGGACAAGCTGGTGCAGCGGGCCAATGCGTCCCTGTTGATCGGCACGTCGTCCTGGAAGGAGCAGTTCGTGGAGGCCATGACGGTGAGCGCCAGCGACGACGCGGACGAGAAGGAGCCGTCTGGGCTGGACTACGCCATGCATTTCGTCACCCTCTTCTGGAAGCTGATGTTCGCCTTCGTCCCTCCCACAGGTACGTGGTGCTCTGTCCTTTTCTCCCCGGCGGCTCTTTATAAATAGACAAAATATACATCGGGATGCCTACTTACAGGACAAGTTGAGCGATAAGGGAAGTGAAAATTCATGTTCGTATATTTTGTGAAAAGTCATGTCTAGGAGGAAAACCAAGACGTGGGTGTAGATATACTTAGTTTAAACATTCATACTGATATTGAAATCGTTAAATAATATTGCAAGTTTAAAAAAGTCACAGAATCTAGTTTCTAATGATTATAACAAAAATCAATAATAATAATAATAATANCTATAGTAGGATCGTATACGATGCAAAGTAGAGCAAAAAATTGTCGGCCTTTTATCAAAGGAAAATCGTGTCATCATTTTTAGGAGGCGTAAGATAAATCATTTCAAATTTAAAATGAAATTCAATGTAAAATCTGAAATACCGCTGCATACGCACTGTGTTCTGGTAGTAGCTGTAGTCGCCCAGGTGCATCGAGTGTACGAACTGGTCGGTTATACGTCAAATACTAACCTGGCGAGCTTTGCCGTCAATTAGAGAGCGCTTCCAAAAAACAAGTAAACAACAGTGGCGCGTACAGAGGTAAAATGTAGTACATATGTGGAATTTAGGAAACAAATTGGATTTATAATAAATTACATTTAAAATAAATAGTTTATGAGAATAAAGGAATTTTTGTAGCAACAAGGGTGCCAGACCTGAACTGATCCCCTCGTCCCTTCATAATGTATAAAGAAATTATTCAATTTGTAAAACCCTTAAAGGCGTACTTCATTGGTTCCCTTGACAGGCAATGATTTATTACTTTGCATCGAATATGATCGTACTATACGATGATGTGGCATTGTAAAGGTATTTTTAAATCGGATATTCCTCGAATGAACATTAGAACGTTTAACAAATTTAGTTTTTAATGATCGATAAGAAGGAATGGTTAAAATTTTATGTACAAGATTGCCAAGATGATGACGACGATTCTTCATATTGAGCCACTTGATTTCTACAATTTTGTGAGAAATATGATCAAATTTTCTTAATCCATGTACAAGTCGACAACATGAATTTTGAACTGTTTGAATTCTATTTTTTTCTTGTATACTAAGGCATGGACCATAGACATAATCACAGTAATTAAAATAAGAGAGAACAAGTGACTCACATAACATAATTTTTATTTATATCTTTTATTCAGAATATGACGATTACTATAAATTAATCTAAGCGAAGAATAACATTTTTGGAGTAAGGTTCACATGCTGATTGAATCGTAAGTTACTGTCAAGAGTCACTCCCAGATTTATTTACACTGTCAGTAATAGGAATTGGAATACCATCAATTATAATATTAAAGTTGAGTCTTAATATTTATACCTTTATCTTTGTACAAAAAAAAATTATTTTTGATCTGCTAGAGTTTAATTTTAAATTATGTTCATAAGATTAATTGCCTTACAGTTTGTAACTCAGAGCTGACAATGTTGCATGCTTGATCCAGATCATTAATATCAAAATGGTAATATAGTTGAGTATCATCAGCATAAGCTTGTACTTTACATTGTAAAATTGATTCTAAAATGGAAGCAGTGTAAATTATAAAAAGTAAGGGACCTAAAATTGACCCCTGAGGTACGCCAGAAAGTATTTCTAAACTATTAGATAGAATGTTATTAACACGTACCTGTTGAGATCTTCCATATAAATAAGAATTAATAAGATCTAAAATCGCTTCATCAAACCCATAGTACTTAAGTTTAGAACAAAGAAGCTTATGATTAATTGTGTCAAAAGCTTTAGAGAAGTCCAATAAAACTAAAGCACTAACTAGTCCCATGTCCTGTGCTTTTATTAAATCATCAATGACAGTAATGAGAGCAGTTGAGGTACTATACCCTTTCCCGAAGCCACATTGCGATTGAGGTATTATTTACAAAAAAGTCATAAATTCGATTATATAAGAATATTTCAAAAATTTTGGAAAGCACAGGTAATATTCTAATTATTCTAAGATCAGAGAACGATTCTGGATTATTTTTTTTGGTATAGGCAAGCAGATTGCCTTTTTCCACAAACAAGGAAAGTATTGTTTCTAAATACAGCAATTAATTATATGAGTAACACACGGATCAATAAATGGACTACAGTATTTTAACATAGTGGAAGATGTATTATCAACACCAAATGCATCCGTATTGATACTATTAAGAATAGTAAGTAAATTTGAAAGAAAGATTAATATCACATCTATTATTGTCATAAAAATTAATTTGGTCATCATCACAATTATTGGAGATATTCTGCACAAATGAAGCAAAAAAGTCGTAAATTTCATTAGGGTCAGCCATCTGAGGTGGCAAAGTAAAATTTTATAAGATCGAATATTGAGAGAGTCAAGAGCTTTCCAAATCCGTTTACTATTATTTTGAGAAACAATAAATTCCAAGTACCCTATTTTTTCTTGTCGTACCATAGAGACACAGTAATTTCGCAAATTTTTGTATTGTATATACCAATCAGTGTGCTCGTGAGTACGTTTAAATTTTTGAAGTGCCTTATCTCTTTGTTCCATGATTAATTTTAGATTGGAGTCAATCAAGGAGCACGAGGTTTAGTAACCCTTACTTTTTTACAGGAGCATGTTTGTCAAAAAGACTAGTTAAAAGTTTATTAAAAATCGAAATCTTATTATCAATATTATTTTCATAAATCATCTCAAACCAAGAGACATTATACAAATCATTTAAAAAATCGTTCAAATTAAAATACTTATAGCAGCGGTTTGAAATAAATTTAGGCACTATTTTATTATCAGTAAATTTTAGGTTACAAAATACCATTCTATGATCAGATTGTTCAGCAGCAATTGTTCCAGAAGATTCAACAATGTTAGTATTAGTAATAAACACAGGATCAATTAAAGTACTAAAGGTACAAGTAATTCTAGTGGCCTCATTAATAATCTGAGAAAAGTTGTAAGAATTGAAACAAGGTTCTAATACAACTTCATCAGCAATATGACAAACTGTAGATAAAATATTATCAAAATCGGTAAAAAAATCATTAATAAGCTATTAACCACAACAGTTACAGTTATAGAATAATTTCCGCATTTAAAAAATTGATTTGTCAAGTGATCTTATTAAATTGTTTATTAATAGATGTATGAATACTAAAAGTGAGCACTTAGGAAACCACAATTGCTTGTGCACAATCTCATTTTGATAAGTTTGACATCGTAAGGGCGGTGGCGTCAACGAAATTATATTTTTCTGTTTCATACATTTTTATATTAGGCATATGGAAGTCCTCTTTTCCTCATCAAGTTTTGATGTGCAGTGCTGATTTTCTCAGCGCTGCATTGAAAAACAGGATATTTTTAATGTTTACGTTACAGCAGGGTTAAATAAGTGTTATTGAATCCTAAACTTGAAAGTTTNAGAATAACATTTTTGGAGTAAGGTTCACATGCTGATTGAATCGTAAGTTACTGTCAAGAGACACTCCCAGATTTATTTACACTGTCAGTAATAGGAATTGGAATACCATCAATTATAATATTAAAGTTGAGTCTTAATATTTATACCTTTATCTTTGTACAAAAAAAATTATTTTTGATCTGCTAGAGTTTAATTTTAAATTATGTTCATAAGATTAATTGCCTTACAGTTTGTAACTCAGAGCTGACAATGTTGCATGCTTGATCCAGATCATTAATATCAAAATGATAATATAGTTGAGTATCATCAGCATAAGCTTGTACTTTACATTGTGAAATTGATTCTAAAATGGAAGCAGTGTAAATTATAAAAAGTAAGGGACCTAAAATTAACCCCTGAGGTACGCTAGAAAGTATTTCTAAACTATTAGATAGAATGTTATTAACACGTACCTGTTGAGATCTTCCATTTAAATAAGAATTAATAAGATCTAAAATCGCTTCGTCAAACCCATAGTACTTAAGTTTAGAACAAAGAAGCTTATGATTAATTGTGTCAAAAGCTTTAGAGAAGTCCAATAAAACTAAAGCACTAACTAGTCCCCTGTCCTGTGCTTTTATTAAATCATCAGTGACAGTAATGAGAGCAGTTGAGGTACTATACCCTTTCCTGAAGCCACATTGCGATTGAGGTAAGAGAGTATTATTTACAAAAAAGTCATAAATTTGATTATATAACAATCTTTCAAAAATTTTGGAAAACGCTGGTAAAATACTAATTATTCTAAGATCAGAGAACGATTCTGGATTATTTTTTTTGGGTATAGGCAGGCAGATTGCCTTGTTCCACAAACAAGGAAAGTATTGTTTCTAAATACAGCAATTAATTATATGAGTAACACACGGATCAATAGATGGACTATAGTATTCTAACATAGTGGGAGATCAACACCAAATGCATTGATACTATTAAGAATGGTATGAATCTCATCAACAGTAGCCAAAGTAAATTTGAATACAGAATAATTTCCGCATTTAAAAAATTGATTTGTCAAGTGATCTTATTAGAGTGTTGATTAACAGATGTATGAATACTAAAAGTGAGCACTTAGGAAACCACAAGTGCTTATATTAGGCATATGGAAGTCCTCTTTTCCTCATCAAGTTTTGATGTGCAGTGCTGATTTTCTCAGCGCTGCATTGAAAAACAGGATATTTTTAATGTTTACGTTACAGCAGGGTTAAATAAGTGTTATTGAATCCTAAACTTGAAAGTTTGCAAAGAAGTATATTGTGATCAATCCTGTCAAAAGCCTTAGAAAAATCCGTATACACTGCATCCGCTTGCCCTCGATTATCCAAAGTTTCACTCAAAAACTGACTAAAAACTGCAAGGTTACTCGTAGTAGATCTGTAATTCATAAATCCATGTTGACGAATAGATATTTTGTTACTTACTGCCGTATATATGCGGTTGTAAAGTACACTCTCCGAGACTTTTGCAACATTGTTTAAGATGGATATTGGCCTATAATTGCTAACCGAGGCACGATCCTGA